ATTATTATTATTATTATTATTATTATTATTATTATTATTCATTTCTCATTTATTTCCGTGAGGTATGCCAGGGGGACTTTTCAGTGGATTTTGACTATGTACTTTAATAGCATCCTTAAAGCACTGCATTGGCTGACTGTGAGCTACCGGGCCCAATTCAAGGTGTTGGTACTGATGTACAAAACCCTGAATATCTATGGGCTGAAGTATTTAAAAGATTGCCCCCCTCAGTATGTTCTGGCCCATACCCTGCGTTCAGTGGGAGAGGCTCTGCTTGTGTTGCTGCCAATGGTGATGGCCCAGGGGTGATTACACAAGACAGGTCCTTCTTGGTAGCAGCACCCCAGTTATGGAATCTCTTCCCTGGGGAGGAATCTCCTCACTGGTACGCTTCAGGTGTCAGCGAAAGACATTCGTACAAGTTCACCAGGACTTTTGGAAAGGTAGATGCTCCCATCAGTTGTAATATGGATTGCAGTTTTAAGTTAGCTTCTTTCTCAGGGAGTTTTTATGGGTTTTGACCATAAGCGCTTTGAGCTAATTGATGATATTGTACAGTGGTACCTCCGGTTGCGAACGGGATCCGTTCTGGAGGTCTGGCTGGATCCTGAGGTTTTCGCAACCTGAGGATCACTGTTATACGCATGCGCGTGGCGGTAGACCGCTTCTGCGAATGGGTGAAACACTTCCGGGTTGGCCGCTTTCACAACCTAAACTTTACGTTACAAGTGGGTAACATAACCCGAGGTGCTACTGTACACTGTGCTACATTCCTAATGGAGAGAAAGGGAGGCACAGAAATAATAGCAGCAATATGCTTTTAGGATAGTGTACTTTTCAAATGTTAGGCACATAAGGAAAGCAGAAGATAGAGCTTCCCAATTCCCTATTGCATATCATTCCCCAAGCAGTCATGGTCAGCTGAACAACCAGAAAAGTACTAGAAAAAGGACGTTAGTTTGACCTTGGAGAAACTAGTACAACCTGCCACTCTTCTCCATATCCACCTGTTGATCACTGACAGTTCTCAATGTTTGTTTGTTTGTTTTAATTAAGAGAGAAGCCCAGCAAAATAAAGGTTTAGTCTATTTGTATGTATGAAGAAAGCTGAAATAGGATGCATTTCTGTGGATTTATATACATTTAAGAGTAAACAACAGAATCAACAGAATCAAAAGAAAAAACAGAAGATTGGATGGCCATAGTGTGGATGCAGACTCTTTAACAAAGGCACTATGTATGATAGAAGATTCTCTCAACCACATGTCTGTGTGAGAGGGAGACTGATCGTTATTAGGATTCTTTAATGAGTAGATTACATCAAGACAGGCTCAATTTTAGGAATGAAGACTCCGTACACACAATTCCAGAATCAACGGTGACTGAGTATTTGCTTTCCTCCCCACATAGTTCACACACAGTATTTTGCCTCTGAAAAGCACTTATTGAGAGACGGGTTTCATTCAGAAAATAAAAGCTCATTGCAAATTGATTTTGCATTACTGTGCAGTGTGCCCATTTGAAAACAGATGAAAACAAATGTAGGCAGTCCCAATAACATGGTTGGTGGGCATATACCAAGAATGTAATCACTACTTCCTTCCTTATTTAGCTGGATCATGTGCAGGGAGGAAAAGGTGTGGATTACGTAATTAAGGTGAGTGTTTTCAAATGGGAATCAAGTAACCACACCCAGCCTTTGTTGACAATAGGATCTAGAATCAATCTAGTTAGAAAGTCGGATGCTGAAGATGAGCATGAATGATTTCTGATTGAGAAAAACTACATTTTAAAGGTAAAGGTACCCCTGCCTGTACGGGCCAGTCTTGACAGACTCTGGGGTTGTACGCCCATCTCACTCAAGAGGCCAGGGGCCAGCGCTGTCCGGAGACACTTCCGGGTCACGTGGCCAGCGTGACATCGCTGCTCTGGCGAGCCAGAGCCGCACACGGAAACGCCGTTTACCTTCCCGCTTGTAAGCGGTCCCTATTTATCTACTTGCACCCGGGGGTGCTTTCGAACTGCTAGGTTGGCAGGTGCTGGGACCGAGCAACGGGAGCGCACCCCGCCACGGGGATTCGAACCGCCGACCTTTCAATCGGCAAGCCCTAGGCACTGAGGCTTTTACCCACAGCGCCACCCGCGTCCCAACTACATTTTACATGCAACCTAAGACTACAAGTCTATTCCTACTTATCCAGAAGTAGCTGTGCTCATTTTATGTCTTAACTGTGAACATGATTCCTACCTCTGCAGGTGCCGTGCATGGCATAAGCAAGCCATAGTATAGCTTGTCGTGTTGTGTGATCTCGGACTGTAGTTTGTTTCAGACAAAATATGAGCCATAAGCCAAGAACAAATCTGGGCCTATTTCTGGCTTGATGCTCACGGTTTGTTATTCAGGTTTACACAACATAACAAACCATACTATGGCTTGTTTGCACTGCTCACAGGGATAAGCTGGACTGGTGTGTGTGTGTATGTGTGGCCTGGAGGCAGCAGGCACATTCTTGACTAAACCATGATGTAAAATAAACAATGGCTGAGCTCAGTGTCACTCAGTTCAATTGGACATCCCTCTGAGCAGACATGGATTGGATTGCACTGTGGGTGTGCTGTGTCAGTGCTTCTGATCCCCACAGTGGAGGACTTTAAAATTGGGGGAAGAGAATCATTCAGGTGTATGAACAAATGTCTCACTCGTAACTTATGGATATACAAAGGCACATACAGTGGTACCTCGGGTTAAGTACTTAATTCGTCCCAGAGGTCCGTTCTTAACCTGAAACTGTTCTTAACCTGAAGCATCACTTTAGCTAATGGGGCCTCCTGCTGCCGCCGCGCTGCCGCCAGAGCACGATTTCTGTTCTCATCCTGAAGCAAAGTTCTTAACTTGAGGTACTATTTCTGGGTTAGCAGAGTCTGTAACCTGAAGCGTATGTAACCCGAGGTACCACTGTACAAGTAACACACTAAAATCGTATCTACTTGGACTGTTCCATAGTCAGGTGTATACAAGAAAAATATAAAAAATTAAAGTCTTTATCACTGACTTTTTAAAAAAGGAGGGGGGGAGAAGGTGCATTCTTACAGAAGTGAGAAGAAATGGCGCCACTGGAAAAACACACACGAGTTTTAAACACAGTGGCCAAAATCTGTTACATAACATGTTTTACTGAGCTTGTGTAGGCAGGCTGCCACATGTTTAAATGGGTGTTGTGTAATTTTGCGAAGGGCTTGTATCTTACTTTGACTAGCAGTTACATGTTTATAATGACCATTTGGGAAGTGACCAAGACAGGCCTGCCTCATTCAGAATAGGGACAACTTTAACCCTAGAAGACAGCTAAAGAAGCAGCTGGTGGTTGCCTCAAAGTCATGCCGTTTGACTGAAGTAGATATATTGTGCTTAACTCTGATTTTCCCCAAATTAGTTTGCTTTCTAGCAATTCAGGTAAACCCTCAAGCTCTGATTTAAAATTACACCCACAGGAATCTTACTCTGTCAGAAGAACACTACTGAACTCGCTATCAGGCTGGTGGCAGGCAATTTCTAACCCATCACACTCTTTTCCACGAAAGCTGTTCTTCAAAAACCTGGCAGCCCTATCAGGCAAATAAAGCATTTGTATGTGTGAAAACATTAGACAACACCCTAGATATAGGATGGAAAAATAATAATCTGTTTTTTCATGTTAAAATGAGACATTAATAACACCTCACGTAGACAAGTCCAAATAATGAATTGTTCTGGAAGTTCCAATAATTCACTGAACAAATTCATCTCCACTGCCCATCCCCAACACTAAGGTTTTCTGGTAGAATCATTGGCATCAATCTATGTATGGAAAATGGAAAATAAAATAGAAGCTATTGCTCAACACTCTTCCATATTTTCTTTACCAAAGTCTCCCATTTCTTATATCTTTCATTACATGCTTAAGCATTCATCTAGAAAGCCACATGGGCTCAAAACAAGCAAGAGAAAGTTTTGTTTCCTTGTTTGGATAGCTCATTGCAAAAGGGCAAATGACATTTTCAAAAGAGGCAAGACTAAATAAAATTACTATTCCTGCTGTTTCTTGGCTAGCATTTAGGATCTCTGCACTTTGGATAAAGGCTTGGTTACAGTTTCACTGTGCTGACAGAAAAGCAATATGGGGTTCCTTGAGCTCTGCCACAGGCAACCAAGCATGAAGAATTTTCAGTAATTTACTTCTGCACTTTCCATAGCAGCTTTCCCCTACCTTCCCCTATCTTCTACATCAGCAGTTGGGAATTTTAGTCCAAAACATCTGGAGGGCACCAGGTTGGGGAAACTTGGTTTATACTATGGTAACATGCCTTAGGACTGTGATTTAAGGTCAGCAGAATCATAGCAAATCTACAGTACGTGTGTGTGTGTGTGTGTGTGTGTGTGTGTGTGTACCCCACACAATATCAGAGTCTTTCAACTTTTTTAGACTAGTGATCCTCTTTGCACTTGAAAAATAGTTTGTGACCACCACTCCAGGCTGTTATTTGTACCCAAAAATGCTGTTTGCCTTGTGGGGTGGGGTATCAGCTAAAGAAAGTGAATTTCAGCAGAAAATTGCAATGAATCCAGATTGGGTCCCTCAAGGTGGCTATTTCTTCAAAATAAGGTGGCCAGTTTAATCACACTTTTTAAAAAGTATTTTAATTGATAATGTGTAATTTTAACATTCTTTGTGAATGGAGTAGAGGTAACATGTGTGTGTGCAGCACTGCAGATACTATATATTAACCCAAAGGCAAAGCTAAAAAAATACTGTAACTATTTAAGGTATACTGTATGTTTGTTGCACTTGGAAACAAACTTATAAAAGAAGCTGCATCCCACCTGCAGCATTATATCTTTGCAATTCAGTGATGACTGCAATAAAAACAAAGCAACAAAACCAGCTATCTATCTATCTATCTATCTATCTATCTATCTATCTATCTATCTAATGCCAAACACACACACACACACACACACACACACGTATCTTCTTGAAGGACTGAAAAAGAATGTTGTACTCCTATATTAAAATATATGTGTGTAAATATAAACTTTGGTTTTGTACATCGTTTTAATTTTCCCCCCAACCCAACCTGTGACACCCATGGGGTCAAGAACCGCTGGTTGGAAAACAGTGCATGGTACACACAGCTGCCCCATTCTTCTCCATGACCATGAGAATTATGCGCTTGATTCTGAACTCATCTTCATCCCCACCCCTGGCAAAGGTCATAAAGCCACAAAGTTCTGTAAAGGAAACAACGGGAATGCAATGCACTTAATAATGATTGAGAGCTCTCCATTAAGTTTTGACCATTATGAAGACAATCATCACTATGACAGCAATTTAGAGGATGCTATGAAGAGCATACCCCACCCTGGATTATCCCATAATGATTCATCAGATAATAAATGGATGATGATTTTTATAGACACCCTCCAAGGAGTTAGCTGTTGTCTGCTAATGCTGCTGACAATTCCACCATTTTAAATCCCAGACAGCTGTTTCATCCATTCATTTACCCCTTTTCAATACCGGGGTGGGGGAACTCTGCAGCTGGCCATGCAATGATTGTAGCAGACCCTATTTTGAATTTCCATACATCAACATTCTACCCTTTTTAACACATCAGGCATTCTGCTTCTTGTGAATGGAACTGCTTTTCTCCATATTTACGCTGGCATCCCAACACACATATGGCTGTGTCAAGTTGCCACCACACTTCTTTCAGATCTGCTTCACTTCAGAGATCAACAATGAATGGAAGGATGTTACCTTTATCTGTTGTTTCATTCTACTTCTGAAGAAGACAGTATTTTCTCTCTCTCTCTCTTATTCATAGCTCAGACACCATTCCATCATTCCATGACAAGAATTGAGTCAAATTCTTTCACTTTCTTCCCAATATTTGCTTTTTGTCATGAAACTGCTGCTAACTCACCAAATGACAGCAGCTTAAGGAGGGTAAAGGAAAATATTTTCTCAAAACAGAGGGAATACCAAAATCACATCTGCATAGCAAACAATGAGTATTCAAGAACAAAAACTTACTGCAGCTTCTTGAATGATTCCATACAGTTGTGAAGCAAAGAACAGCCATCAAAACATTTTTTAAAATAGTTTTTTCAACTTTCTAGATTCCACCCCCCCCTTCCGAATTCATGGTAACACTACCTCTGATACTAGGGCTATAGGGGAATAATTAACAAAATGGTACGGTGGTGGTAGCTTTTTGCTATAGGGACATCTTTGCAATGGGTGAAAATATATGGGAACTATCAGTGGGAAATGGGAAAATGATGATGATGATGATGATGATGCCTCTGCACTGGACACCCCCTCAAAGAACAACAATTTGGAACAACCAGAAAATGGTATCCATTATGATCACCATCAACATCGTGATGGGTGTAATTCTAGATTTAAAATGCAAAGCAATTATGTCTCATCAAAACCAATGTTCCAAAGGGAATGCTTGGAAGTCCATGTATAATTCTATCTCTGACAAGTCATCTTCCACAATTTGTTCACTGGGTGTTTTACAACAAAAAGTTCCTGGTTTAGGAAGGGGTTCATTCTGGTGGCAGCTTCCCAAAATATACATAAATCTCTGGTTCATTATCTGGAGCAGTTGCCTTCAAAGAAGCTACTCCCTGACTGATGTCTAACTAAGAGTGATAAGAAAAGGTGCTTTGTCATTTATATTGTGTTAACACGGCAGACTAGAATAATGAACATCTGAATCAGCAAACCGGTCATTCCTTTGCACACCATAGTATCCCTGGAATGGATGAACACACCATTCTGTCACTGAGGAGCTATTCCTAAGAGCATAAAAATCACCAGGTTGGGTCAGGTCAGTGGTCCAGTTAACTCAGCATTCTTGCATCTGCTGACAGAGGTCAACCAGATGTCATGGGGAGTTTTTATAAGCAGGGGCATGACAGGAAAATCAATCACTCATGTTGTGGTCTCATCCTCTTGCAGTCAGAGGTATGTGGCACTGGCAAAAGGAGACTGTACTTCAACAAATTTTCATAGATAGGAGTTACTGACACATTGCACTTATATGTATGTTCATATAATTTCTATGTTTTAAGCAAGATGCTTAGATTCTTTTTATTGTCTTAAGCCTTGGATGGCACTGAACTTGTACAGAACTTGTTTTATTTTATTTTATTTTCCTTCCGACTTGTGAATTCAACATGTCCCTCAGTCATCTACTTTCTAAGCTAATTTAAATGCAGAAGAAGATGAAAATTTAGACAAAGAACTTCTCCTAACCTTGTGACTTTCCTCCACTGTTTAAATAAACACACACAGCACACACTACAAGCTCATATTTCTCCAAGCACTTTCAAAGAAGGCCAGAGTCCACACTGGTTGTTATTTAATACTCTTTTGGCTCAATTCAGCAAGACTATGGTTTTGCCTATTGCAGGGAATGGTAGCATAATCTGGCATTTCAAGTGAACTCAATAAGTTAGTGATCCCACGGACAGAGGATGTGGGATTGCATGTTTGTTGAGGGAGGGAAAATTCACTGTTTAGACTATTTTAAAAGGGCTTTCTTCCAAATATAAGATTGCCTTCCACCTCTAAGGAACACAGAATCCTAGAGTGAGGAGGCGTCCCTGAAGTGTATTTGAGGAGAGGGGGGATAAGGTAAAAATGCCTTTACCCTCTCCTTGTTTTAGTTCAGTCTGTTAAATTCCTTCCTGCTGCCAACACTATAAAAGCTTCCCACTCTACTGTCTCTCTCGTTAGTAATATGATACTTCTGAAATCATCAGAAGAGATTTACTATAGTTTAAAGTGGGTCAATTCATGGGGGACAAAAGAAAACAAGATATTTGTACCTGTTCTGTCACATAATAGATCTTGAAAATGCCTCTCAGCTGCAATGCTTAATTATTACTTTGTTGCATTGCGGAGCAGTATTTTTAAATTATTCACAGGCCATTACATTTTCATACACTACAAAGCCACCATGCTGGAAGTCAATGGAAAGGCTTCCAATTTAAAACTAAAGGCTCCTCCAGTCTTGTTTATTGAGCATACATTATGACTCGCTTACACAAAGCTTATGTGGTTATATTTTCAGCTGTTTCTGTACTACCTTAAAAACCGTTTTAGCTGCTTTTATGATAATCTGTAAATCAACTTGAGAGATACATATATATAAGGTGATTAATAAATTAATTCATTATCAACAACTGCTGCAATGTAAATGGTCTTTAAGGTAATAGGTAAGGGTACCAAGTACTCACAAACCACATGGGTAGAGGGGAAGGAGGAAATTCCCCATTCTGCTCAGCGTTAGTCCACATGGGCTAGCAGGAGATGCACAGATGTGGGAAGGCTATTGTTGTACCTGAACAGTGATGGTACTTCAGACTCACAACAGGAAACAATACTTTTATAATGCACTTTGTGTTTCATGCCTTCTCTTGTTGCTACTGTCACTATTAAGACCAATGTCAGGAAGTGACTTAAGTCATAGTATCAAGATGGCATGGCTCTCAGTTGCTAGTAAAGAACGATTCCTTCTGAATTACAATGAATGGCAAAAACAATGACATAAATAAGCAAGTGTTGAAAACAGTTCCCTATAATAAGTAAACTTTATACAACTAACACATCTTCTCCAAACGTATTCCAACACATTCAACCTCCAGTCAAATATCTTGTCTCTTCCTTTTAAAGTTTGAATTACATGTTAGTCGTAAACATTCACAACACTTTTGTGCTACATCTGAAGAAGTTTTTCTTCTCAGTTTAAACACTATGAAAATTTGAGGATTTAACTTACCAAACCTCTTATAGCCAAAGGACTGAACCTCCTCTTCTTCTGCAAAATCGTCTGTGTATACATATAAAAAACAAAGGCAGAATTTTATATTAGTATATGACAGCCACTGGCATATAATATAGTGTACGATAATATATGTTTGAACTAAACATTTGTAGACAATTCTGCTTAGAATTTGCACTTAAATGCAATCTTTGGCTCAGTGGGATCTGAAAAATATCAAGGGCATTTCCCCCACCCACCCCTTGAAACATCTATCTTTAGTTGATACATAACTTTTGGAGCTCTGTTTGTCGGAATCAAAAGTAGAAAACCATCTGGTCATGCTCAGCAGCTTGTGTGTGGAAATTATTGGGTGGTCCAGCACATAGTTTAATAGAACAGACTAATTTCACTTACCAAACAATATCCAAGAAAGCAAGCTATACTTGGCTTGAAATACATCACTGCTGCAACTACAATAAGGCAAACAAATACAGAGATTTAACCCCTGTCCTGTGTTAGAAGAGAAAAGAGGGATCTTTTATGAATGAGGATGAAGACCTCCTAGCAAGATACTTTGAAGTTTCTGATCTTCTGCTTCATGTGGTCTAGTTCTTCCATAGACAGAACGAGGCCTGTAATCAGCAGGCTTGCCAGGTTTTCATTTATCTGACATCATCATTTATTATAAGTTGCTAAGGGTCTAAACTTGCTGGGTTGGATCCAGATGTTTATGCTTAAAGTAGACCCAATTAAATCAATGGGACATAAATTGGTCATGACTAAGGCCTCACTAAGGGACTAAGGGACGTGGGTGGCGCTGTGGGTAAAACCTCAGTGCCTAGGACTTGCTGATCGCATGGTCCGCGGTTCAAATCCCCGCGGCGGGGTGAGCTCCTGTCGTTCGGTCCCAGCTCCTGCCCACCTAGCAGTTCGAAAGCACCCTTAAGTGCAAGTAGATAAATAGGGACCGCTTACTAGCGGGAAGGTAAACGGCGTTCCGTGTGCTGCGCTGGCTTGCCAGATGCAGCTTGTCACACTGGCCACGTGACCCGGAAGTGTCTGCGGACAGTGCTGGCTCCCGGCCTCTAGAGTGAGATGAGCACACAACCCTAGAGTCTGTCAAGACTGGCCTGTACGGGCAGGGGTACCTTTACCTTTAAGGCCTCACTAGTATCAGTGGATCTACTCCAAGAATGAAGAAGTTAGAATAATATAACACCAACAAATGACAAAATTAAAAACAAATAAAGAAGACATAGAAAACAATTTTGTTGAAACCAAACAGTCCAAAAGGGGAAAGTTGTAAACAACAACTGCCAGTGGTTTTATGTAGCTGTTGAGATGTACAACTGAACCCTGACATAATCCCTATGAAACTACTATGCCAAGTTACTGGGTACCCTGGCAGATAAGAGAGAAAGTTTACACACTTCACACACTCAAAGCCAGGTGTGTGTGTTTGTGTTTGCATGCATACTTACAAAAAATATATGTCCAACAATGGAACACATATATTTCCTGCCCTAATATGGATTGGTTTTGTAGTGCCATGTAAGGGTGGGGTTGATTTTGCTGCTGTCATTAAGGGTTTTCAGTATCCAGTCAATATTAAGGGACTTTGCTTCCAGTATTGCTGTCCAACAGGGGTGCCATCTCGTCCTTAAGATTGTGGGTGCCTGCCACCACGTGGACATGAGACATCACAGTGCATTGTGGCGGCTGGTGGTGGTGGATCATCTTCCTCCTCCTACCTACAGCCAGAGACGCACCCTTTTCTGCGGCGAGGGGCTCAGACTCAGAGGTAGAGACACTGCCTCTGTGTTTGAGGCTCCCCCTCCCCCATAAAAGAGAGCCTCACTGGCTGGTTGTGGAGGATGGAGCTGAACTGCTTCTCTCTTGGAGGCAGCGCTACTGCTACCTGCTGGCTTTTCTCATTGACTTTATGGGTGCCCAGCCCCCACAATTTTATTATTGTGGGTACCCAGGCCCCCTGGGCCCCCTGGAGCTGGCTACTATGTTCTCCATGTAATCTGCTTCAGATTGCTTGTTGGCTTGTAGGCAGAAGTGTAATTTCTAGTCAGGTATATATTGTTGTTGTTGTTTAGTCGTTTAGTTGTGTCTGACTCTTCGTGACCCCATGGACCAGAGCATGCCAGGCACTCCTGTCTTCCACTGCCTCCCGCAGTTTGGTCAGACTCATGTTTGTAGCTTCGAGCACACTGTCCAACCATCTCGTCCTCTGTCGTCCCCTTCTCCTTGTGCCCTCCATCTTTCCCAACATAAGGGTCTTTCCCAGGGAGTCTTCTCCTCCCATACAGTGGCCAAAGTACTGGAGCTTCAGCTTCATGATCTGTCCTTCCAGTGAGCACTCAGGGCTGATTTCCTTAAGAATGGATACGTTTGATCTTCTTGCAGCCCATGGGACTCTCAAGAGTCTCCTCCAGCACCATAATTCAAAAGCATCAATTCTTCGGCGACCAGCCTTTTTTATGGTCCAGCTCTCACTTCCATACATCACTACTGGGAAAACCATGGCTTTAACTATACAGACCTTTGTTGGCAAGGTGATGTCTCTACTTTTTAAGATGCTGTCTAGGTTTGCCATCGCCTTTCTCCCAAGGAACAGGCGTCTTTTAATTTCATGACTGCTGTCACCATCTGCAGTGATCATGGAGCCCAAGAAAGTAAAATCTCTCACTGTATATATTGCCTTTTGTATTTTCTTGAGAACAATAGAAATTAATAAACTGCTTTGGACTTTAACAAATAAGGAAAGAAACAACAATTCCATTACCTATTACTGATATGACACTATCCTTTCGTCACCCTTTTTCTTCCATTCCAAAGACCACTAGCACATGTCTTTAATGCAGAAGAAACACATCTGGCATTCATTATAACTTTAGCATTTGTGTTGACACATGACACAAGACAGTTATTAACACAGAAAGTGCAGTTGTTCAGGGCATACAGCTGTATTGGCTTCAGCTCTATTATTAATCAGCACTAATTTGAATGACTAGACACAAAGAATGTGTGCCGTGAGTAAGTGAAATTCTTAATGGTGCTTTTACTACAGTAGATCTGCAAGGCAAAGTAGAGCTTGGCATGTAAGACCAGGAAAGAGTTAAATAGCCAGCTATGCTTGCTTCTGAAAATCCACACCTCCACCCCCCAAACACTAGATGGTTTGTTTAAGCCAATTAATTACTCATGGTTTGCCCAACAGCGTTGCCAGGAATTTATTTAGCTATCCTGGACCATTGCATTAATTAGTTTTGCAACCTTATAAGAGTGTGACTTCTTTTTTAAAGCATAGTTTTTCTCTGCTTGGCAGCAAGACTCTGTAATGATTCATGCTAAATCTTTTGCTTATGGCGTGCACTTGTGGTGTTTTTAAGACAAATACAGAAACAGAGCCATAAATGTATGTCAGCATGTGTTTCTGCTTTCAAAACATGAATACATGGTTGTGTGCTATCTGAAAATGGCCTAGGCAACTCATGATCTATGCATAGCCGCCATGACCTTTTTACTGATCCCAAAGATGTTTCTAAGAAACCTGGGAAGTTCAGCACTAATCATTTGTGAATGAAAAAGAACCTCTGCCTCATACTTGCAGAAGTTGTGCCTAAATCTGTATCAGTCTTCCCTAACCTGGTATCTTCCAGACATTTTGGACAATAACCCTCTTTCCCGACTATAGGCTATGTTGGGTGGGACTAATGGGAACTGGAATCCAACAATTTCTGGGTTGTTAGATTAAAATGGAGAGAGGGGAGAATCATGTACGCCATCTCGAGTTCCTTGGAGGAAAGGTGGGATATAATGTAATAATAAAGAGTAAAATAAATTGTTATGTACTGAAGTTCTCACCCTGGGCCAGCAGGGGGATACTGTAGATAGTTCAGGTCCACATATGCAAATAAGGGATTGAAAGTGACGTTCAGTGATTGGATAGTTACAGAAAATGGTTACTGTTGCGTTCTAGTGGAGCTCTATATAAGCAGGCTGGCTGAACCCTTCAGTTCAGTTCTGTTCTGGCCTGTGAATAAACAAAAGCTGTTTGAAGAATCACTGTGTCGTCTGATATGTTCACCCACAACTTAACATAAATAAATGTCTGGTGTCAAGATTATGGGCCAAGTCTACTAAGAATCAAGAGCTGAGGCTCAGACTTTGTCATTCAAGGATTTTATTCAAGTTCAGTCAAGTTAAGATGGTGCAAGTGTTGGCTGCATATACTGCAACATCCTATTCAAAGCAACTGAGACAAGGCGACTGCTTACTAGTCCTGACTCTGGCCATTGAGATTTCTCTGGGAAACTCACAAGCTGGACACAAATCGAATTAATTTACTGGGATCGTTGACCAATTTAGACAAACGAGAACACACAATACATGACATTTTCTAATTCTAAATAAGCAAGCAGCATGAATGAAAACAAGTATGAGACTAGCTAAACTGGAAACATGTTAAAAGAGCTTGGATCTGAACTGTAACGTGAAAAAAATACTGCTGCAACTTTTGCAGTTACAGCAGAAATATTACGCACGAAAAGCAGGACACAACAGTGAAGTCACCTGTTGTTTATTTCCATTCAGAAGTATACTTCCCCTGAATGATCAATGAAGCCAAACTTCGAAACACCTAGACCAAGATACAAACTTTTCCCATTCATAACATGTTTGCATTACAAGGCAACCAGTAATTCTCCCCATATTCCTATTCTTCTCTGTCTTGGGCTGAACCAGAGCTGTAGTGCCTGATATGACTCCTCTCTGCCTGACACTGGACTCCTCAAGCCACCTTCCCTCACTGCAGTGGTGCCAGAAGCCCTGGAAAACACAATTGTCTTAAGGCACATAAGTCTTTTAGACGACATTTCTCAGGGTTTCTGGTACAGTGGTACCTCTAGTTGCGAACTTAATCCATTTCGGGGTGCCGTTCACAACCTGAAAAGTCCGCAACTAGAGCGCCTCTTCTGTGCATGTGTGTGGCGCGATTGAGCGCTTCTGCGTGTGTGCAAAGCACGCAGATTGCTTCTGTGCATGCGTGGGTGGTG